GGCCGAGGAGTTCAGCTCCCGCGCTAAGGAGTTCGCCTTCTACCACCAGGGTTACGCGCCCGGGCCTTACCACCACCACCAGCCCGTGCCTGGCTACCTGGATATGCCGGTGGTGCCTGGCCTCGGGGGGCCCGGCGAGTCTCGCCACGAACCCCTGGGTCTTCCCATGGAAAGCTACCAGCCCTGGGCGCTGCCCAACGGCTGGAACGGCCAAATGTACTGCCCCAAAGAGCAGGCGCAGCCTCCCCACCTCTGGAAGTCCACTCTGCCCGGTAAATGGCGCCCCCCCTTCTCAGCTCTGGTCCTCCGGCTGGGCTGCAGCTTCTCCTCCGCTTGCTCCCTGGCCACTCTGGGACCCCGTTGCTGTCTCTCCCCGACCTGCCCTTGCGGCGGCGCTGCACCCTGGGGAGCCCGACCCCGCTGACTGGCGCTGCGCGTACCGCCCTGGAGCCGGGCTGGCTCCTGGCTCTCCCTGGGTGAGGGAAGGGTGGGATAACTTATTGGGAACCAGGCTGGTTTCCTTCTCCCTTTGTGCCCCGCCCTCCCCAGCCCTTGACAGCGACTTAAAGCTGGGAAATTGACCTGGAAACGGTTTACAAAATTGCCCGTATTCCATTCTCTTAGAAAGGGCTTCACTGTAGAAGCATCAAGTGTTAGGGGTTGGGGAATACAGAGAGGAGCTAGGCGTCGAACTGCTGTCCCCTTAGCCCAGTGCTAAGGTGTGGGCCTGTAGGCCAGGCGATCAAGGGAGCCCTGGTGCGCTGCTGGCCTGGCTGGGACGGTCATTGGAGTCCTGGGTAATTCCATTTCAGTGCAGAGCTAATCTCTCTCCCCACTGACCCTCCAGGTTTGGGCAAAAGGCTGGATTTTGCAGTGCGTGGCAAAGAGTAGCCCTGCGCTGCAACGCGGAGAGCTCAGATCAAGCTGTCCCCTGTGTCCTGGCCCGTTCCCTGGGTAACTTGCCTTCTCCCCTGTCTTTCAGACGTGGTCTCTCATCCCTCAGACGCCAGCTCCTACAGGCGGGGGAGGAAGAAGCGCGTCCCTTACACCAAGGTGCAATTAAAAGAACTCGAACGGGAATACGCTACAAACAAATTCATTACCAAGGACAAACGGAGGCGTATATCGGCCACCACGAATCTCTCCGAGCGGCAGGTCACAATCTGGTTCCAGAACAGGAGGGTCAAAGAGAAAAAAGTCATCAACAAACTGAAGACCACTAGTTAATGGATTAAAAGCGGAGAAAGAAGGCAACTTGAAGAGAACGCTTCGGAACTCATTGCTTTACCCAGATCATGATTATAATGCTTAATAATAATTGAAGAATGGGAAAGAGAAAGAGAGACACTGGCATTTCGCTTTCCTGAGGGGGGAATCTCTTTCTCCTTGGTGGAATCAACTATTTTAAAACTTTAAGCAATGGTGAAGACCGCCAGTTCTTCCGCCAACCCCACCAGACCATTAAATGACAAACTCTGGTGTCAAATGTCAACCCCCAAATATGCATTTTCAGATAAGTTACGCATTTACTGAAATCCTGTAAGTATTTATGTGACCGTTATATTTTAGGACGTTATGTTATACGGTAATAATCTGAAAACTGGTTACAAAAGTGAGAGGCTGTTGTAAACATCTGCTTGTCCTTCGCCATCGCCATCCCCTTTGCATGCTAAGTGAGGGCTCAGGAAATCTCAGTTGAAACCCTACCATTGTTGTATATTCTGCAGAACACGTCATGTATAGATTTAGAGGGGGAAAGAGAAGAAGGTACTGAAGTAATGATTGTGGACTATTTTCTATGAAGGGAGATAGGGAGAGAAAGCTCCTCCAAGGATCGTTCGTCTTGGTAGTAATACAACCAGCTGAGTCTTTGAGGCTGTAAGGGAACCCCAAGTTTGGAATGTCCTTCTGATAATAATCTTTATTTGCTTATAACAAGCATATTTTGTAGCATTTGGAGTATGTTTTCTGCCCTGATATAATTTACTTTCCAAAGGATTTGATCTCATTTTTTTTTTTTTTTTAGTATTCAAAACATCAGACAATTCACAGGATTCACTTTATGTCAGATCTCGAGATCTAAGAGGTGCCACCCTAACATGGTGGACTCTGTTTTGAATATAATTAATTTTCTTTTTCATTTAAATTGCTGTTTCCCAATATTTATTAAAGATATTGCGGAAGAAATGATTTTTCTTTTTTGGAAAACTTGGAATGGAAATCCATTACCCTGAAACATTTAGATGTTCACATTCTATATTGTGATCTGTTAAGGGATTCATATTTTTCCTTGTTTATTGTGTTTTGAGACCGCATTAGAAAGTTTAGGAATTCATCTTCACAGCACACTTTTAATCAAGCAGTTATTTCAGTCAGCACAGTCATTTGTTCATATTCACTATAAAATGCTATCTTGTAAATAAAGACATTCAGCACACTGTGAAAATGTATTTGTGCACCTGCTTTCCAAATATCTCAACTAAAAATAATAATTAAAAAAACCTTAGACCTGTAGATAGTGCTATAGTGGTGTTAATTATGTTAATAAAGTAGTCACTGCCATTAAAATCTGAAGGAAATACTCATTATTTTCCCATGCTAAACGTGCGCTGCACAGAAAGAAAAGGAGCAGGTTTGTCCCACACAAACCAAGGATCCTTCTTTTCTATTTAGCTTCCCCCCCCCCTAAAATTTTTTAAGCAAAGGGAGAAATTCCTCATAACTAAAATCCTAAAATTTTAGAAAAGTGCTTCAAGAAAGGTTAAAATGCCATGGATTCTGAAAAGGAGGGGGAAAAAAGGAGGAAGAGATAGTATAAATTCTCAGGCTCCCTGCAGAAAATGAAAACCAGTTGTTTAGTGCCAGCGATACCAAGCTGTCGTATTTTAAAATCTGCTGCTGGGTCTGCATGCGTCTGAGAGGGCAGGTTTTGATATTTGTTGAAATGACAGGACTAGGAAAGGCCTTAAACCTTGACCTTGACGAAAAAAGACAATTTGTGACCTTGACTTTTGACAGCTCATGAATTGGCCTCGGCTGGATTAGTAGATCAAGGGCGCCACCTCGCGTTGACAAGCTTCCTTGTAATTCTTCAGCTTCAAGGGAATCAAAAGGTCTTACCTTCTTGACTCCTTAGAGATTTAGTGCTCATTTCTTTGGCTCCAGATGGAGCAAATTTGAATATATGTAAGTTATACATGTGTCTGTACATATGTGAATATAGATCATATATGTATACATATATGCTGACCAGTGCTTGTGTGTGCTTGTATATATATATATATATTTGTAGAATCTGTACAGATATAGTGTCATTAATTACTGATGACCTGAGATGTTGTAATTTAAGGTAATTTCTAGAGTTGAGGTGCAAAATGTACTTTACATGATGAAGTTTGCTCCTTTTCTTTAATGGCTAAGTTTAAGTTGTCTTCATAGTGACTTGCTCTGTGTCAGACTTCTGCAGATCTCCTTTAAAGCTGTACATTTTTGTTACAATCTAAGAGGTGTTCTTAAATAACCATTATTTCCCGGGCCTCACCCTCCAAGGTGGTCTACCATCCTAATTACAGCTATAGGGGAGACTATACGGCAAATAAAAAGGTTCAGGTACCTCACTAACTCTAGAGTTCTAGAGTTACATTTCAGAGATTCAAAGAAACCCACCTCGTAAGAGGTCAGTATGGAGAGCTTAAAGATTTCATGTCTACAAAATGACCATAATACAGATGCAGAAGGAGCGTTATCCTGGATAGCTCAGAGCTGAGTGCTGCTCCTGGGAGGTGGGCAATCTTATATTGATGTTTGCAGAGCTGCCATTTGACTTGTGGAAGAAATATATACATTTAATATGAACAACGACCGTCAAAACTATAATAATAGTAAGTACTATATTTACTATTTCTGACCCCCAACAACACATCAGGGCTGTGGTTAGAGTAATAAATAATACATATGTATGTTTATATATTTACTATACACAGAGGGTAACATGTTTTTGTGGAATCCATGCTAAGCACATATGTACTGCAATGTTAGTGGAACCAAGGAGCCTTCTGATGCAGAATTCTGAGTTGAGGTTAATTTTATTTTTATGTTAGAGGAAAGCCATTGTGACCAGAAGAACTATATTCATCATTTTATGGAAAATAATATTGGTTGGTTTCAAACCTGATGGAAACCTCTCCAACCGGAAGACGTACAGCTTGTTTATAGATGGAGAATTAGAGAATCTCTAAAGTTGTCCTCAGAAACAGCATGGTCTTGAAACATACATACGAAAAGGCCTTGTGAAGTGCAATCAAATTTTGCTGCCCTGGGGACTCTACTTGTGGAAACAAATGAAAACGATGCTTCGGATCCACCTCCCCAAGTTTTGGGCCACAGGACTCCATTTCTGAATGAGCTGCCATCATTCCGAAGTCACAACTTTCGCCCCAGATGTTAAAGTGGTGGGAAATCCCCCTCAAAACTGGATCAAACTGTGTGTTTACGCATAGCTCCAAAGGGGGCTCTCCTGTTGACTGGGATATTTTTCTTTAGATGTAAGAAATCCTAGGAGCCTCGGGCCTAGGAAGGGGGCGAGCAGCAGCTCTGCAGCGGATACCGCCCCTTTCCCAGCCATCGCCACTGCAGGAACTCTGGGTAAAGTAGTCATTTTTTTTTTCCTCTCTCTCTCTCTCTCTCTCTGCAGTTTTTGAAACTAATGACAGAAGATATTTCAGAGTTGTTGTTTTTTATTACCCTCTCTTCATTCTAAAATGGTTGTTGATAATGTTGATCTTACCTAACTCCCCTCTTGTTTAAAATTCCCCTGGATCTACCAGGCAACCTGAAGTAAGCCTGGATTATGATGGCTCCCTAATGCCCCCAAATCAATTAGTCTAAACCTTTAGGGAGAAAAAAAAAAAGACATTCAGGAGGATGCCACCATATTGGGAAAATAACGCCAGACCCTGGGATAGTGCTGTTGAAGCTGACTTGAGTATACTTCTTTAAAGGGAAACCCTCCGCATTAAGACATTGTAAATATGCAAACGCCTGGACACCGTTTTCATTTATGAAGCTAGCCAAGATTTTAAATCCTGTAATGGCCTGTCATGTTGCCATTAAAAAAATTGTACCTATGGAATTCAGGGGGTAAAAAAACTCCTACTTTTCCCATCTGCTCTTAATGCTGTCAAATTTATTAAGGTGTTTTAAGTGGATGATTGTAAAATGTCACTTTTCATTTCACTACGATTAATGCCTGATGCAGAGCTGAAGCCATGCATTTAAATTGTGTGGGTTGTTTTTTGTTTGTTTTGTTTTTTGAGAGAGAAAAATTTTAAGGAAGAATTTTAAAGAAATTTTTAACCTAGTTGAAATGTTTTCTTAAAAATTACGGGGCAGTGCAATCCCGCTGAGGGTGATAGCGCGGCGTGCGGGCAGGGACAGCGATTTCCCCGTGTCATCTGCACCGCTTACACCCCGCTGAGTGTGTTTGGGGGAGATGCGGCCTCTCCCGTCCTTTCTGCGGATTCTTGAGACGCGAGGCTGGAGGCTCGGAGCGGAGACGGAGGCCGCCCCGAGACTGCTCAGCTGCAGCCACGGTGGGCTCAGGGGCGCCCCTTCGGATGTGCGGGCCTCTGTGGAGGAGACCGCGGGGGCTCGCTGATCTACGCGCGTTCCTTTAAAGCTGATCGAATGCGTGTCAGCAGCCCGAGACCCGAAGAAACAGAGAAAGGCGCAGCGAGTTGCTCCCATGCCATTTTTCCTGTGCGAAAAGGGAGCGCCATCCGAGAGGCCTGCGGCGCTTTCTGCCTCCGGCGTGGGACGGGCGCACCGTCCTACGTTCTCATCAGCGGGGCCGCCGTGAATAACAGGCGACTTCGTTTTTGATGAAAACACCCACTTTTCTGATCCGGCTGCTACCGTCCTCGCGCAGCTGCCCACCGCCCACGAAGGCCGAGGCGCTGTTTGCTATTTTAAATTGGATTTTCAAGGGAAGAAAACGGACGCCGGCCCAGAAAAATGTCTCGGTCAACGCAGGCAAGGCCTGGCCACAGCCGATTTCATTTCTGCACGGCCCCGTCGCCGCCGAAGAGCGGGGTCCACCAGGCACCACTGTGACCAGGGCGCCTCCGA